CATAAGAGGCTCAATGTCTCCAGCTCCAAGTGTCAGAGCATCAACTTTTTCTCCAGACACAATCACATGGAGCAGCTCAGATGAGTTTGAGTTTAATTCAGTCCATCTGTGATCAGCAAAGAAGCAGAGAGAAGCTCTGGTTTAACTCAGGACTACAGTGTGTGACCTCTGACCTCTGACCTCTGCTCTGTGTGTGTTTGCAGCTGTGGAGGGAGCTACGTCCCGACTGCCCTCTGACCGGGAGGATTTCTAAACAGTGGAGTGAGATCGGGTTCCAGGGCAGCGACCCCAAGACCGACTTCAGAGGGATGGGCCTGCTGGGCCTCAGCAACCTGCTGTGAGTGTCCTGACCCCTGGAACTGACCCCTGTCCCCCTGAACCTCTAAACCCCTGAACCCCTGAACCCCTGAACCATGTCCCCTGAACCCCTGAACCTCTAAACCCCTGAACCCCTGTCCCCCTGAAACTCTGTCCCCCTGAACCTCTGAACCCTGAACCATGTCCCCCTGAAACCCTGTCCCTGAACCTCTAAACCCCTGAAACCCTGAACCATGTCCCCCTGAACCCCTGTCCCCCTGAACCTCTAAACCCTGAACCCCTGTCCCTGAACCCCTGTCCCCCTGAAACTCTGTCCCCCTGAACCCTGAACCCCTGTCCCCCTGAACCTCTGAACCCTTGAACCCCTGAACCCTGAACCCTTGAACCTGAAACCCTGAACCCCTGTCCCCCTGAAACTCTGTCCCCCTGACCCCTGACACTATGGACCACAGTAAACTCACAAAAGCCCTGATGCCCTCCCGTTTTCTCTCTCTGCAGATACTTTGCTGAACACGACAAGACCACGGCTCTTCAGATGCTCAACGACTCTCTGCAGCCCAAACACAAGTACGTGTCTGTCCCCCCGCCACCGCCACCGCCGCTCTGTGCTCATGTGCTCACTCATACGGTCACTCATACGGTCACTCACGTGGTCATGTGGTCACTCATGTGGTCAGTCATGCCTTAGCTGGGCCCTTAGTGCCTGTTTGGGGCCCCACAGGTGCACGGCCCTGTTGTGTTACTCGTCTGACAGGGGCCTCTGCTGTGTGTCTCACTTCACCTCCATTGCTGCCGCTGCCGCCGTCGCTCTACCTGCTTCTGTCTGTGTGTGGCGCTGTGGTGCTGCAGGAGCCCGGGCAGCAGACACAGGTACTGCACTCAAGTCATCTGCACCAGGTCACCTCCCCACCAGGTCACCTCCCTCCTACCTCCTACCTCCAGCCTCTGGGTCTGCATGGGTGTGTTCAGAGGAGTTTAGGTGTATCCATGTGTGTTCAGAGGTCTTCAGAGGTGTTCAGAGGAGTTCAGAGGTGTTCAGAGGAGTTCAGAGGTGTTCAGAGGAGTTCAGAGGTGTTCAGAGGAGTTCAGAGGTGTTCAGGTGTGTTCAGAGGAATTCAGGTGTGTTCAGAGGTGTTTAAATGTGTTCAGAGGAGTTCAGAGGAGTTCAGGTGTGTTCAGAGGAGTTCAAGTGTGTTCAGAGGTGTTCAGATGTTTTCAGAGGAGTTCAGAGGAGTTCAGACGTGTTCAGAGGTGTTCAGATGTTTTCAGAGGAGTTCAGAGGGGTTCAGATGTTTTCAGAGGTGTCCAGAGGAGTTCAGACGTGTTCAGAGGATTTCAGATATGTTCAGATGTGTTCAGAGGAGTTCAGAGGAGTTCACATCTATTATTTATTATAATTTTTATTATTTTATTGAATTATTTTTATTTATTATATTATTTATTTACGAGTAAGAATATTTTTCTTTCCTGTACACCGGTAAATTTCCTTGAGGTAGCAGCACTACTCGGCGACAGTGGGGATGCACTGATACGATTCTCAGGTGGAAAATCAGTTACATTTTAGACCTAAAAAGAAGGAAAACTTCACTGTGTTTTAAGGAAACAGGTGCCATTTTCTGTCCCTGCGCCGGAATCGGTATCAGGTATCAGCAAATACTCAAAATCACAGAATGGAAAGAGTTGGATTAGTGCATCCCTGGTTCACAGTAGTTGTAATGACAGAAGTATTTTTATCAGTAGTATCGATAGTAGTAGATAGTAGATGGTATTAGCTTTTTTAGAGACAGACGTTTCTTTTGTTTTTTCTGGTCAAATACTTTTACTTTCATATAATGGATAAAAATAAGCAACGGTTTTGAGTCTGAGCACTTTGAGCAAGTTTTTAGACGTAAACATTAGCATTAGTTTGGTCCTGACAGTGAAAGTGACAGGAGCATCTTCACCATCAGTCATTTCACATTTACAGAGTCATTTTACTAACACAACAGCACCTCCATCTGGACTCTCACCGCCACCAGAAAAAAACTAAACAAACTACAATATGTGGGCTTAAAGTGCTGCTGATTCCTTTAGAACAAAGTGCTGCTGATTCCTTTAGGACAAAGTGCTGCTGATTCCTTTAGAGCAAAGTGCTGCTGATTTCTTTAGACCAAAATGCTGCTGATTTCTTTAGGACAAAGTGCTGCTGATTCCTTTAGAACAAAGTGCTGCTGATTCCTTTAGAGCAAAGTGCTGCTGATTCCTTTAGACCAAAATGCTGCTGATTCCTTTAGACCAAAATGCTGCTGATTTCTTTAGGACAAAGTGCTGCTGATTCCTTTAGAGCAAAGTGCTGCTGATTCCTTTAGGGCAAAGTGCTGCTGATTCCTTTAGGACAAAGTGCTGCTGATTCCTTTAGAGCAAAGTGCTGCTGATTCCTTTAGGGCAAAGTGCTGCTGATTCCTTTAGGGCAAAGTGCTGCTGATTCCTTTAGACCAAAATGCTGCTGATTCCTTTAGGACAAAGTGCTGCTGATTCCTTTAGGGCAAAGTGCTGCTGATTCCTTTAGGGCAAAGTGCTGCTGATTCCTTTAGGACAAAGTGCTGCTGATTCCTTTAGGACAAAGTGCTGCTGATTCCTTTAGAGCAGTTTTTTAAAGTTTGTTTTTGTCACAGTGAGATGGACCAGAGCGAGTGGGAGCAGAAGAGCAGAGACAAGGCCATAGGGTAAGACAAATACACACACAGACACACACACACACACACACACACACACACCTAAATGTCCCATATCACACTATGATCTCTAATCTGTTGTCGTTTCCTCGTCACACACAGACCTGGAGTTGTGTTTTGTTTCATTCACACAAACCCTGCACATTTAGACCGAGCTCTTCTCTCAAACTGAAAACACTCTGTTCCACCTTGTGATGTCGTCCAGTGGCAATACAGGAAATGCTCCGCTGTGTTTTTAAACTCCACACACCTCCACTAGAATCATTTGGATTTTTTTTTTTTTTTTTGTCAGCGCTGGAGTCGCCGATCTCGAGTGAACTAAAAGGTAAAAGGAGCTGTTCACTTGGAAACTACCACTTCATGACATCACAAGGTGGAACAGAGCGTTTGGAGCTTTAAGAGTTACTCAGACGTGTGCGAGTGAAACAAAACACAAGTCCAGGTCTGTTTTTGAGGAGGAAACATTAGAACATCACTTGAATGTCACAGGGGTCCATTTTTTGAGATACAGGAGCTTTAAAGTTTTTCTTACTAATCTGACTCTTCCTCTTCTCTCCTCCTCTTTTCTCTTCCTCTTCCTCCTCTCCTCTGTGTCTGTGTGTAGTTATTCGTTCGCCATCGTGGGCATTAACATCACGGAGCTGGCGTATTCTCTGCTGCTGAGTGGAGCTCTGAAGACTCACCTGTACAACGTGGCTCCGGAGATGTCCACCCTGCAGCACTTCCAGCAGACCTTCTGTGAGTCCTGATCACACCCACCCACGCCCACCACCAGCAGGGGGCGCAACGTACGCTGTGTGCGCAAACGGACGGAGCTGGGTTCAGTAGAGCTTTTTCACGTCACCTGAAGTGTCCCGCTGTAGGTTTGCCCAACTTCCGGTTAATGGTTTTGTGCTGGAGAAGACGACACAAATTTACACAGAAAAACCATTAACCGGAAGTTCTACAAACCTAAATCCGTGTGTCATTCGTTTTTCAAAATAAAACCAAACATAAGAAAATGGAAAAACAACGATTTTCTTCATTTTTTGTCTCCAAAACCAAAATGAGAAAACGAATAATGACTGTTTCCCGTTTCCGTGGCTTAAACTGCAATGTCGTTTTTTTGCACCGCCTACGGATTGAACCAGGACTAAACCAGGACTGAACCAGGACTAAACCAGGACTGAACCAGGACAAATCAAGACTAAACCAGGTCTAAACCAGGACTAAACCAGGACAAATCAAGACTAAACCAGGTCTAAACCTGGACTAAACCAGGTCTAAACCAGGTTCTAAATTTGTTGCAGTCCCGGTCTCAGTCCTGGTTTGGTCCTGGTCCGATCCTGGTCTCAGTCCTAAACCAGGACTAAACCAGGACTGAACCAGGACTGAACCAGGAGTGTCAGAAACGGGAAACGGCCTTTATCCGTTTTTTCCATTTTTCATTTAAAAACAAAATTGAAAACTGAAAAAAAAAAAAACGAATCGTTATCTGTTTTTGTCATTTTGGTTTTGGAGACAAATAATGAAGAAAATCATTGTTTTTTTGTTTTTTTTGTTTTCTTATTTTTGGTTTTATTTTGAAAAATGCTTGACACACAGATTAAACAGATTAACCTACAGTGGGACACTTCAGCCGCTGTGAAAAAGATTTGTTGACCTCCTGAAAAAGCGTGGTCCTTTTCTCTGGAGCTGCTGCCGTCACACTCGTCAGTTTGGTCTTAAAATGTTCTCCTCTCCTCCTTCTCTCTTTCTTCTCTCCTCCTTCTCTCTTTCTTCTCTCCTCCTTCTCTCTTTCTTCTCTCTTTCTTCTCGTCGTCCTGCAGGTTTTCTGATGCAGGAGTTCCACAGTTTCTGGGTGGAGGAGGATCCCAGTGACATCATGGAGTTCAACCGCGTTCGCTCCAAGTTTCAGAGGAAGATGGAGAAGCGGCTGCGGAGCCCGGACGCCGCTCTGTGCCCGCGCTTCTCCGCCTCCGACCTGCACCTGGTCAACCTGTGAGCCCCGCCCCCTGCCCTCACCTGACCCCGCCCCCATCTGACCTGAACACACCTGAGCCCAAACACACCAGACCCCGCCCCCATCTGACCCCAAACACACCTGACCCCGCCCCCATCTGACCCCAAACACACCTGATCCAAACACACCTGATCCAAACACACCTGAGTCAAAACACACTTGAGTCAAACACACCTGATCCAAACACACCTGACCACCGCCCCATCTGACCCCAAACACACCTGATCCAAACACACCTGATCCAAACACACCTGACCCCGCCCCCATCTGACCTGAACACACCTGACCCTACCCACACCTGAGCCCGAATACACCTGACCTGAACACACCTGAGCCCAAACACACCTGAGTCAAACACACCTGACCTAAACACACCTGATCCAAACACACCTGACCCCGCCCACACCTGAGCCCAAACACACCTGATCCAAACACACCTGACCCCGCCCCCATCTGACCTGAACACACCTGACCCTACCCACACCTGAGCCCGAATACACCTGATACACAACACACCTGACTGACCCAAACACACCTGATCCAAACACACCTGATACAAACACACCTGACCCCAAACACACCTGATCCAAACACACCTGAGTCAAACACACCTGACCCCGCCCACACCTGTCCTGAAAACACCTGACCCAAACACACCTGACCCCGCCTCCTCACGAGCCCCGCCAATCAGCTAGTCCCATGTCACTGCCACGCCCCCACACTGCCCACTGCGTCACCAGCGTCTCATGAGCCGCTCCCACCGCTCAGTCTGACCCCGATCTGACCCCGATCTGACCCCGATCTGACCCCGATCTGACCCCGATCTGACCCCGATCTGACCCCGATCTAAGGATTTATTTATTTAAGTTTCATTGAAAGTCGTGTTCAGTCGGGTCGTTGTGTCTCGAAGCGAAACCTTCATGAAAATATAAAACAAAACCGATCAAAGTAACGGTCAAGTTTATCAGTTTATGTCAAATCACACCAATTAAAAAACAGAACAGTGACTATTTTAATTTTGATATTTTATTCTCTCTGGTTTATCTGAAGTTTTTTTGCTGAAGGACGAACCTGAAAAATCGTTGCAGTTTCGTGCACAAACTCGTCTCGCGTTTATCTTCACGTCTTAGAAAGTGAAGCAGCGAGAAACTCTAAACCACAGAAATATAATAAAAATGTTTTTTATTTTAGATTCGTGGTCGACTCTGAATTCACACCAATAAACCAGAGAGAATAAAATATCAAAATTAAAATCGGCACCGAGAAATTAAATATTGGAAAAAAGATCGAGGTCGAAATCTTTTTTTTTTTCTTTTTGTTTGACACTAAAACGGAAAAATGAAATGAAACTGTTTTCCCATTTTATTGTTTTTCGTTCTTAATTGAAATTCAAAAGAACGAAAAAAAAAAAACGGTACCCGGACCTTTTAGTGTCTCCGGTTTTGTTTGACTTCATTTTGGGGGTTTTGGGATGTTGTGGCGCGAGATCTCGTCCCGTCGTCGCTTCTCACCGACGGACGATTCATCACATTTGTACGTTTCGAATGTCACTTCGTGTTGTACGAGCGAAACGACCACAGATCAGCGGCGGGTGCAGTTTTCTCCATTTCGTGACTCGAGTAAAAGTCCAGAAACGTGAAAAAAAATAAGTAAAAGTATTAAGAATGTTTTACCGTTGATTTCTAAATGTTTGCAGCTGTTTTTGTGCTTCTTGTTTTGCTCAAAGTTTGGACGGAAACTTGAATGAAACGTGCTAAATATAAGACTTTCAAATGTAGTAAAATAAAATGTATTTAAGTAAAGTACAGAGACGTAAAAACTGTACTTCAGTGTTGTACTTTTACTTTTCCACCGCTGCTACAGAAATATTACAAAGCTGTAGCTGCGTTTTTACACGGAGAAAAATCAATCCAGAAAGTTTCAAAAAGAATGTAATTTTTTTTTTCTCTGTTGAAATTGTAAAAAATCAGAAGCAGAAATGTAAACGCGAGAGTTTGTTCTGTTTTCTAAAGTCTCCGCTCAGTGTTCACGGGTCAAAAGTCGACGAAAAAGTGTTTATGACGGGTCAGACGACGGGTTTTACTCAAACACACTCGAGATCTAAAATGAAACATTTATTTCACAATTTGAACGTTTATTTTCAATTTCTACGTCCTGGCGTCTTGAGATGATCCTGCGACAAACACAACGAAATGCATTTATTTGGTTGAAATCGTGTTTAAAATATCAGAAATAAAAAAAAGTGTTTCTTGTGTAAACGACGAAAAATTATATATATATTTATGTTTACGAATGGTACTTTTCAACCATGACGAAAACCAGAACTAAAACCAGAACCAAAGTAGGACTAAACCAGGACTAAAGTAGGACTAAACCAGGACTAAAGCAGGACTAAACCAGGACTAAACCAGAACTAAACCAGGACTAAACCAGGTCTAAACCAGGACTAAACCAGGTCTAAACCAGGACTAAACCAGGTCTAAACCAGGACTAAAGTAGGACTAAAGAAGGTCTAAACCAGGTCTAAACCAGGACTAAACCAGGACTAAAGTACGACTAAAGGAGGACTAAACCAGGACTAAACCAGGACTAAACCAGGTCTAAACCAGGACTAAACCAGGTAAACCAGGACTAAACCAGGACTAAACCAGGACTAAACCAGGACTAAACCAGGACTAAACCAGGACTAAACCAGGACTAAACCAGGACTAAACCAGGACTAAACCAGGACTAAACCAGGACTAAACCAGGACTAAACCAGGTCTAAACTAAACCAGGACTAAACCAGGACTAAACCAGGTCTAAACCAGGACTAAACCAGGACTAAACCAGGACTAAACCAGGACTAAACCAGGACTAAACCAGAACTAAACCAGGACTAAACCAGGACTAAACCAGGATCTAAACCAGGACTAAACCAGGACTAAACCAGGACTAAACCAGGACTAAACCAGGACTAAACCAGGACTAAAAACGCTGTCATCTTGACTAACATAAATAAAATCATTAGATTTGGTGTTTGAGTTGAACTGCGTCGTTGAAATTGTCCTAAACGCTTTAATCCAGAGTTTGAAAAGTTTTACGCAGATATAAACTTAAAAAAAAAAAAGAAGTGTTGGAGTTTGAAAAGTCGTCCTGTAGATTCTCGTCTCGTCTCATTTTTATATTCTGTATTTAAATCGTCTTATAATAAAAACGTACGGGAATGAATATAACGAGATTCACACTTTTAGAGTTAGAAACGTTCACGCTGCTTTTAACGATTGTTTTTTTTCGAATGTCTCACTCACGCTCACGTTAAAGCTTCACTGTGTAACTTTTCTGGCGTCGGGTAAGTCGCCCGCTCGTCTCCACGGGAACGCACCGCCGCTTCGTTCGAGGATGTTCCGCGGCGTCGCTTTATTAAACGTCGCCCGTTTGATTGAATTTCAGATGTTTTTTACCGTGTTTTTCGGACAATAAGTCGCACTTTTTTCACGGTTTGGGTGAGATTTGTACGAAAATAAATAATTTCACGTGTTTGTTGTTTTCACACTGAAGCAGACAGGGGGCGCTCAAAGTATCTGCTGCTTCTCGAATTTCGGTCTTCCAGTTATCGCGCCATCCATACTGGGAAGGATCATCTAAAAAAGTGAACATCAGTCGATCTTTTCAAGTCTTTTGAACCATTTCACTTTTGTTTCTGGTTCTGATATTGTCATATTTTAGTTTTGGGATTCGGACGTCGTCATTGTTGTGGTTGTTGGATCCAAACAGCAGAAAACGACTCGAGGAATTTGTTTGCGAACTTCATAAATACAAAAGTGAATCAGATGTGTGTGACTCAAACCTCTGTTCAAACTGTTTCTCTTCCCAACGGAATTGAAAAATAGTGAAAGGTGAAGGTGATGGGCAGGATTGATCCACAGGAAGAACCAAAAAGGAAACATTTGTCTGACTAAGAAATCATCCTGAGTTTACAGAGAACATTTTGTATGTGGAGCCACGACAAAACAAAATCCCGTTTGTTAATGTAGAGGAGCAGAAGACAAACAGACTGAGCTGCACTTTCTTGTTCTTGTGGTTTTACACAAACATCACGTCTTGGTCTTTGCAGTGGAAGGTGTTTCTTGGTGAACAGTTGGAGACTTTCACTTTGGCCTTGACTTTTTAAATTCATAACCAAGGTTGAGCGAAGGATCAGGATTTTGTTTTGTCGTCGCTCCACATACAAAATGTTCTCTGTAAACTCGGGATGATTTCTTAGTCAGACAAATGTTTCCTTTTTGGTTCTTCCTGTGGATCAATCCTGCCCATCACCTTCACCTTTCACTATTTTTCAATTCCGTTGGGAAGAGAAACAGTTTGAACAGAGGTTTGAGTCACACACATCTGATTCACTTTTGTATTTATGAAGTTCGCAAACAAATTCCTCGAGTCGTTTTTTGCTGTTTGGATCCAACAACCACAACAATGACGACGTCCGAATCCCAAAACTAAAATATGACAATATCAGAACCAGAAACAAAAGTGAAATGGTTCAAAAGACTTGAAAAGATCGACTTTGACAATAGACACGTCCCACTGGGAAAACAAACATGGAGGTTTGAAGACGCAAAAGTGGTGTCGCTTTTTTTATTCCGCATTTAGACGAGTGTTTTCCGGAGTAAATCTGCGCGCACACGGTGACGCAAAAGTGTGTTGAATTGGACTGGGTGGATGCTAGACGACTCGGTGCTGCTGTGATACACTAGTACATGACCTGAGCACACGTGACCAGAGTTTTGCGTCTTGGGCAGTGGAAACGGAAAAGCTACGGTGGAGCCTGTTCAGCTTTTACACTCTGGAGGTGGGTTCAGATTTTTGCGTTTTTAAGCCCCAAAAACGCCGTCACCGTCTAAACGAAAGACACTTCACATAAAATATTTTGTTGTTGTTACCCACAAGTGTTCTCGTGTGAACAGGCCCCAAAAGTGTGCGTTAAGACGAGACTTAAAGGAATAGTTCAGGTTTTTTGACATGAATCTGTGTGTCGTCCCCGTGAGCAGCGTCGTGCATCAACACGACTCACCCCCGACAGCGTCCGGTGACACAGACACTGGACGTTTTCAGAAGAGTGACACATTTGCATCACAAAACCGTCGTCCTCCAAAAAGTCAGACCTCACAATCGCACAGATTGTTTTGAGAAGAAAAACACTTTATTTTAATGTCCCCAGCACAACTTGTCGGACGACTTTCATCAGCACCGAAAACGTCCAGTGTCTGTGTCACCGGACGCTGTCGGGGGTGAGTCGTGTTGATGCACGACGCTGCTCACGGGGACGACACACAGATTCATGTCAAAAAACCTGAACTATCCCTTTAAAACTCTCCGCTCTCCATTTTATAAAATATAATAAAAAAAAACAAAATAAAATAAATTTCCCCCCAAAATTGCGACTTATATATGTTTATTTTCTTGTTCATTTTTTGGCTGGTGCGACTTAA